GATCGTCTCTTAAAAGGGGAGACTTTAATGTCGGTTTGGGTGTAAACATTCTGTTTTTGTTTTGTCATTGATTTACTGGTACAGAAATCTTTGGGTAAATAATACTGGTTCTGAAGTTACTTTCGAAAATTGCAAACGAATACTGAGACGAATACAATTACAAGTGTTTTAGGATAAAAACTGCACTAAACATCAAATAACTACCATTTTAAATACATAATATAAACCATTAGTTTCAAATTGTGTTCTGTGATTACACGAAGTTAAATAAATATTTCAAGCTTTTTAGTTATTAGCAAAAGATCTATTGATTATGAAATCTACTACTACGACATCAAAAGTCAAAGTCAAAATATTTGAACTTTGAAATTGGATGGTTTCAATCAATATCCCAAATGATGGACACAATCCACTAGAGATTGAAAATACTTCTTGAAGATTTCCACACTATAAAAGTACCAATGTGAAATAAGGTCAAATACATTACGCGATTCTCACGTTCTTCGAAGGGCATGTGGTACGCATTTTCCGCATGAATTTCTTTAGTTTAGTCTGATCAAGATAGCCAAAGAAGCAAAAAGCTAGCACCATGCCATAGCTTATACGGTATGTAAGATTCTACGCCTGCAATATAATTTAAGTCCTACTTTTTTTATATGTCTGAAAGCCATGGATTGATTTAAACATTACCTCACACCACACGCTAGAATTTCCTCCCGTGTCGTGGCCCGGAATAACAATAGCCTTTAAATCATTAGGTACACGAAAACTACGTATAAAAATAAGTCTCAACGTGCAGCAACTAATGAGCGGTGGAGGTAACAAACTGTCCAATACATGTTCCCTTGGCAAATTTATGTGTAATAACAAACTAATACCTCAGTACGGTGGGCGGCTGCGTCGGCGCAACACTGAAAAGCAGAAATAGCGTGGGCGGGATCTTCACAGATGACAGCTATCTGCTCTGTTTATGACTTCCTCAGCCATTGGCCTCGCAGCGCATGCAAGTGCATACCTACCTATCCTAGGCAAATTGTGCCCCTAAAACTTTTCTTTTCGCTATTTTACATGCTTGTTGTCTCTGTTCAATTTTCAACTTTTTGGAAATGGTCAAATTTTACACGTCAAATTAAATATTATCTTTGCGCACTTGAAAATACTGTTCATTTTTCTTATCTATTAAATATTTGAAAAAAGTAAATGAAACAGTACCTACTAAGTACCTTCCTAACACTTTTGTAGAATTTTATCCTAGCTAGTAAAGTTGGCCTACTGTTATACTCTTTACCTACGTTCGTGGTTTAGGTATTTAGTAATACTACTTCAATGTAACCGTACCTTTGTTTAGACACATCAATCACGGTTACTGCCTACTACCTTTACGGGTCAACATTTGGGGCGCTGAGCTATTCTAAACAATGGTTAATAAAACCATGGTTAAGCATGCCTAGGCATATATTGTTGTTACTTGGCCAAAATCGACACGTGTAAAGTAGTAGTAGCCTTCAGAGTGTTATATTTAAATAGTTCAATTGTTTGAAAAATATTTATGTAAGTATTTCGTTTTGTCCACAAAGCACCTCATGATGTTAAAGAATATATGTAGAAAGGTTGGCACAAATTGGAGCTTTAGTTTTAAAGTTTGCGTTCGTTTATTTATTTAAAGTTAGAGGGTTTCTAATCTATTGTCTTTATGGATACATCATCATGATGATCAGTCCGTTTCTGACGTCCACAGCTATAGTTATGTGTGTGTGTGTATATTCAAGTGTGGGAGAGCCATGCTTCGGCCGAATGAAATAAATGGGCCGGCTCGACCGGAGTGATACCACGGCCTCACAGAACACCGACGTGAAACAACGTTGTGTTGTGTTTCGTCGTGTTTGTGAGGTTACCGGAGGCCCAATTATCCCCTCTTTCCCCAATCCCTGAATCCCCAACAATCCTCAAATTCCTAATCCCAAAAGGCCGGTAACGCACGTGTAACGCCTCTGGTGTTCCAGGTGTCCATGGGCGACGCCGATTGCTTACCATCAGGTGATCCGTCTGCTCGTTTACCTTCTTATCCCACAAAAAAAAGGTCTCCCCAATGGCACACCACTGAGTTCTCCTATCTTCAGTTGTTCTCGTCCAGCCACTGCCTCTATCCAATCTGCGTACATTACCGTAACAAAATGTCTCTAGATTTAAATGACGTACTTAAGTTATTTCATAAATAGTTACCCAATTTAGTTTACTAATTTAAGGGTATAGTGCCGTCAAAGGTTTTTGAGATTGGTCTCCAAATCCACACTCTTCAATACATCTCAATTTATTTAAACGTCCTCTCTTATCGTATTTATCAACATCAACTTTGAAACAAAACCGACTGGAGTTTAAACAAAAGGCAAAGTAGTAAGTACCTACTTAAACAAGATTGAGTAACGCGGATATAATTGGTTATAATAAACACGTGCCCGCTGTGCCTAAAACCGAAGCACTTGTAGATAAAATAGGTACGTATAGCAACTAATACTTATGGTACTTAAAAATCTTTAACATATACACATGTACGGCAGACGGGTGACTGTGAAATCTGGCAGTAAATCATTGCGCGCGCGACTATAAAACTTTTTGTCATTGACATGTCGTCTATTAGATTTTTAATAATTAAACTTTTAATGTTGTAATGTTTGGTAACTATTTTTGAGCGAAGGTGGAGATTGTCTACCTACATCCGAGATAGATATTTTCTACTCATTTACTAATACTTACTTATAAATTTAGTAGTTTGTTTTTTATTGTTGTTTAGTTTAAACAAAAACAAATAGAATATCAAGACTTACATAGTTATAATTTATCTATATAAGACGTACGGAAGACTTTAAAGCACTGATCCTAGTGATATGGTGCTCCTACCCAAATAATTATAATTGCATCACTAACAAAATATCGAACATTTCTACAATACCAGTGGTGCCATATAAATCACAGTGATCGCTATAAAAGTAGATAAGAGTTGAAGCACATAATGTTACTTGCAGCAATTAAGCTGGAGTTGGTATCAGTGATTGTCAGGAGCCGCGATGTTACTAACCAGATGGCGTCGCGCGGAGGGTCTGTCGCAGCAAAAACTAGTACTCAATCTGTAATACAAAAGGATCAGTCCACATGTACTGTTACGACGGACAGACAACTACGCACTCTAATTTGTTACTCTTTAAAGCTTTTTTGCTTATGATTCATTCGATAATTGTTTTCAATCTTATTGATATTTTAGGCTGCCGCGCCCCGCGAAGAACTTAACGGGTTACCGGGGCTCCGGCTCGAAGTGCAGGAGTAAGAACGGGGTGGTTTTAGTCAGTAAGAGTCAGACACTCCCTCCCGCCTGGGTGAGGCGGGTGAATTCAATGATTTTCCCCCCTTAAAAATCATATTATAGGTTTCAAGAAGGTATATAAATTTTGCGTAAGTTTTTAGCACGTATCTAAGTTCACCTACCTGTATAATACAGTGCATCATCCTATGTAGAGATATTATTTATTGAATACTGAGTTGTGGCGGAAAAGTTTAAAATGCCATAAAGATTTGAATTCGCAATTGAAATGATTACCGGAAAGTTTAACTATTTAGGTTCTACAGCTAGTTATTGGTTTGAGAATCTTGTTTTAAATAAACTACTCAAATCATCATAAGGTGACTGCTCTGAACCTATAGAAATATCTAAATAGGCGTCTACAGTCTATTCATTCGTGAGTATAGAATTAGTGTAATAAAAATGTTTTACATTATGAGAACTCGTTCTGAGTAATAAACAAGGAAACCGCTGAAGTTCGCCGAAGCGGTGGTGATTATTTCTCCTCATATTACTTCCCGAGAGTAATCCGTTAGAAATCGATCGACTTTTAGTGGCGTGTCAGTGTTTAAAGAAAAAAACATAATTTATTGTCAGCATTCAGATCGCAAGGAAACCCGAACGAGCATTAGAAAATAAAAAAGTAATAAAATAAGAGATGTTTACGAGCGTAAAATGACGTGAGTCGTGCAGCCACGCCACTTGGGCTGTTTACAAATGTTAGCTGCGCAGACGCACCACTGTTCACTGCGCCATACATAAAGGGTAAATCGTAATTTATTTTCTTTATAGTCGTTGGTCGTCGTCGCTTGGGTTGGGTTGGTTACCTAGTAATTATCAGGCGCGCGCCGAAAGCTAAACCAATTTGAGTAGTGTCGGCTGCGCGCGCTCAAGTGCGCATTTCATATTGTTTATGTCAATATCAGTTTTTTGTTCGGATATGGGTCTAAACCCAACTATTTATAGCTCTGAAACTCTGTTACCAAACAAAACAGTATAGTGTTTGATATTTGTACATTTTATTTGTATAGTTCGGTATCAACACCTATGTTCATAATAATTATTTTTATCTGTCCATGGAATACATGCATGACAGTTAAAGAAGTTAGTAAGTTCACGTTTTTTTGTATAATAGTCTGAACTTAGGTGGCATCTGATGTAGATATCAGATGCCACATGAAACTAAGAACGGGTACGGCAATTTGCAAGTAGCGCTTAGTAAGAAGCTGAAACTACCAACTATTGACCAGCTGATGAAATTTTATTAGTAAACTTGATAAAGTTTAAGGTGGAAATATCGATTTGGTATTACTCTACTACCTCGTTGGTCGAGTGGCCAAAAGAGAAGCTGCTGAGTGCAGTTTCGTGCTCGGCAGCCCTCACGAGGTTAAATGTATCGATTCTCTAGTTAGTACCGGATTTCCAAGAAATAAGAAATCGTTCTCTGATCTTCGGTTGTATACTCGGTTGTTCTATTATAAATGCGATGACTAAAAAAAGCTCCTTCGAGATAATTTGTTATCTTTTACGTCTATGTCACTAAAGTACCTACATTAAGTCACTTTGCTAAGTAGTAAAGATTTCTAGTTGCTGCTAGACACCTCATTGTTTCCCCTTATTTTTTTAAGATATTTTACTAACCACAATCATTTATTTTCTTCAACAGAAGCGGTGGGTGCATGCGACGTGCACACGTAAAGCGACCAATGAACGCGTTCATGGTATTCGCACAAGCGATGCGCAGGCGCCTCTCTGAACAGCGACCAGCGTTACACAACGCAGAGCTTAGCAAGTCACTGGGTTCTATGTGGAAGTAAGTTATTTCAACTTGTATTTATTCAATTTAATCAAGTTATTTGGGTATATATTCATTCGAATGGCCTACGCCGTAGCACTAAGTGCTACGAAATATAGGACAGGTATATAATATAGCATTATAATTCTGAATAGAGGTAGGTTTATGCAAAAAGAAAATGTAAACTAAACGATTTATAAACATGATTTGAATCTTAAATGAAGAATTTTGAGAGTAAATGAAATTCATTTTGCTTTGTCTAACAGAACTGCCAGTAGAATGTAGACAAAATCAGTACTTTCATTCTCCAATACGGTGTAATTAAATCACATTCCTCGAGTCATATCCGAGTGAAGTTGATAATACGAAAATATCAACCACCGGTTGGTACTCACGGGTTACGGTCGATGCTGGCCGGTTGCCGACCGCGGTGCGCGTGCGGCATCCAACAGCGCGGCGTGCATCGATTGTTTACTCATTAAAATGCTATCGCCGCTAACTGCCGCGATAACATCTCTAACTGTTTCCACTTCGGCTCGCTCAAATAGAAAATTGTGGAACAAATTCGCGTTAGATTCATCTCTAACAAAATATGCTAAAGCATAGCACAGTACCTATACTTAATAAGTATTTATAGGTTTCAATTTGCAGCTGATCTCGTACATAATATACGTATAGGTACTGCCACATTTGTTATTATCGACTTAGAAAATGTTAAGTTTTGAGTTCCAAATAGGCACAGATTTATATAAAACATACAAATAAAATATATTTAATGAAATCGTTAACATTCACTTGAGTAAGATGAGAATTCTTTGAAACCAGTACTATTTACGAACATTGAGATCAAATAAGCACTAAGTACTGCTCAAAGATCGTAAAAGCAACTTGTCGTAGGCCACCCGCGTACGGCGCTCGAAACTCCGAGCTTTTGACGAGAATGACACGAGGCACGGCCAAGAAAGTAGAAATCAACTATCGAGCGCTGTCATCATTTTAAAATAGAACTTACGCAGTAAATAATTATGCTCAAACATGTCTTTCTTTAGTGACAGCCAAACATGTCTTTCTTTGGGTTTAGGTTAGGTAGCTACCTTCAAAATTGAAGCTTAGTTTAGCTTAGTTAAGCTTAGTTTCATAAATTATTATTGTTAGATTTTTAAGCAAATATCTAGTTACACTGTTTTTAGTACCTAGTCTTACAATGGAACGCCATTTCAATTAGGCACTAATGTCAAGTAGGCATTAGTAGTTTTAATATAGGTATTAATTTAATACTTATACATACATACATAACATCATGCCTTTTATCCCCGAAGGGATAGGCAGCTGTGCGCATAATGCCACTGTATGATGTAACTCCCACTTTTCACTATTTATGTTATGAGTCCCATGTAATAGGGGGTGAGCCTATTGCCATATACCGGGCATAATTCCAGACTCCGTGCTACTTCTGAGAATTAAAAACCCAGTAATACTTTGCCCGACCCGTGAATCGAACCCGAGACCCCTTGCTCGGTAGTCGCACTCGCGACCACTCGCCAACGAGGCAGTCATAAATATATACAATAAAGTTGATATCGCACCAAATGTACCATAGGCGCTCTACGTATTTTATACTCTTGCAAAGACAGCAAACTCTCGAATCATCAAAGAAAACAGTCGGTGAAGTGAGCCTGATTGCTTTGTTGTGATTGGTGGGCTCTCTTACACTGTCATCACGCTCACTCAGCTCACTTCTCAAGATGCGGATCCAGATCAAGTTGATTAGCAAAGTCAGAGGTCAAATTCATACTTAGGTATTCAATTACTTGAATATTATGTTTACTGTAGATAGGTATAACCTACTTCTTAAAAAAATAAATACCCACTCCAATATGACGCACAAAACTGTATTGACTTTGCAATGTTACCTTATGTCATATTCTTAATTTGGTATTTAATTAAGCATAAGTATGTATGTGTTATTTCACATATGGAAGTATTTTACCTCTCCTTGACAACTACGCATGTATATTAACCAAAAACCTTCTTTGCAGGAGTCTGAGTGAAGATGAGAAATTGCCGTTTATCAAAGAAGCCGATAAACTTCGGACGCAGCACAAGAAGGAGTACCCTGACTACAAATATCAACCTCGCCGTCGCAAGCCTCAACCTACTTCAGCAATCCGACCCAAGAGGGAACCTTCCCCAGAGAGAGATCAGATTGACTTCGCTGGCATGCCGGACATATCTCGCGAACTGTTGCCGGACGGCCCGCCGGATAATGCTGAACTAGAACAATATTTAATAAAGCCACCCGGCACAATACCCACTGTGCCTGACTACCACGAGCTTCAACCACGATACACCCACAGCCTCCAACACCCACCTCCGCCTCTGTATGCACCAGTACCACCCCATCTTCATCATGCATGTGGAGCAGATTGGTCACACTACCCGGGGCACCCTTAAACCACAAACAAACATCTCGAGAAAGTGATTTCACGTTGGTGTATCAAAGACTTTTAGTAATATCAATAAGCTTTATCAAAAGATCGGAATATTTTTCGCCGCTCAGTTTTTTTGTAACTTATAAAATAGGTCACGTAGCTCTTGTAAATATAATTGGGTAGACATGTAAGCACTATAGAGCACGGCGCGCGGCGCGCACGTGCGTTTAATTTGTGTAAGCTGAATAAATATTTAATAGGTTAAAGTTTGCATAAATTATTATTAAATAATGTTAACTACTGGACCAAATGTTATGTTATCGACAAATCTAGACTACTACCTATAACGTGTATTAGAAATATGTTTTATAATTTGTACCTAAATTTAACTTATTTGTAATAATGTTAAACAGGTTTCTAAGTCTAGTTATTTCGTGTGTCGTGCACTCGTAGCAGGCTGTATGCTTAACTAGCTTGTATCCTGATTCATATTATCATATAGCTAAAACGAGGTGTTTCAATGATAACGAGAACAAAATATCCAATGTAAAAAAACACATTACAATTATTATTAATATTACGTCTGGGTATCAATTACGATAGTTTGGTACTTTACAAAATTATTTGAGTTCCAAAGCTTATGGATAAGTAGAAATTAAAGCTTAGCATAGGTTATAAATAAAAAATAGTGGCTCTACCTATAGATATTTTAGATAAGTTATTATTGTGATTAAATAATTTGTATTTCATAACAATCCTGTTGTTTAATAAATATATTTTTCTATGTTCTACATTAAGCTTCATTTTTATCAGTCGTTTCCAATTGTAACAGGTATTAATTATTCGATGCTAGCTAGAAAATTGATTAATAATGAAATTGTTAAAACTAACTTCCCAGCCAAGGAGTCGGTCATAATACTTATTGATAACAGCTATTGAGAAATATAATTTGGGACACGGCTTTGTTGCTCAAAAAAGTAACTATCTCCGATAATTAATTTAAATGAGCAGTCCATATTTCTGAGAAGTGGTGATGTATGCCTACAGGTCCTTGTCGTACGATGCAAGCGAGATAGGCGGCGAGGCGGCGACCCCTACCCGTCCGTCGCTTCCGGCGCACACGCAGCGCCCGAGCGGGTCGCGCACTCGCGCCCGCCCCGACGTACAACGCCTCTCTTGTTCTCACCCCTATCTTATCACTCTCACATTTTTCGCGACCGACACTAATGAGACCAATAAACATATCGGCAAATTATGTAATTATAATACTCTAAGAGATATAAGGCTGATTTATTATCGCAGGCGGACTATATGATGTTCCCGACTAAAGATAAACTTGGAATCATCTGCTTTTCAATAAGATGATGCAAGCCATATTAAGGTACTGTAATCGATGGTGACATTGGTTAAAGTTCAATGAAATGTCCACATAGGCCCTAGGCCTAATCAGTTAACATTGTAATATATCAGCGCATGACTAATGTTACAGTTCCGAGATTTTAAACTTCCACAGAAACAAAAACATTATACAAAAAGGTTGTTATGAATTTGTAATGGTGCATCGTAGCTGCAATATTAAGATTGAGTGCAAATGAAGCGCGAGGCGCGTGCGCACGGCGGCGGCTCGCGTTACACATAGGATACACATGGACCGACTGACGGACGAATGATATCCTATACTTTGACTAACACACTTTTTGTGCGCCAACACATAAGATATTAATTACAGAGGCGGAGAGCAGTATGCTCAATTTTACGCTTTAATCTCGTGTTTTTTGTTCTTATCCGTCGACCGGATTCATCACTACATTAACCCACTTGTTCCTGAAACAACTTTTTTGATTATATCTTAATAAATTTAACATATAACGCTAATAATACTATATTGTACACGAAAAAAATATAAAAAAAATTTTTCTTCAATTAGGAAAGTGGGAAAATGCCGTCCTTTTACGGCCGTTCCCAATATTCAATCCATAGGTAAAGATAGATAGCTATCCTCGATAGTCAGTTAAAATCTATCTATCTTTCGATGTCGTCCCAATAACTAAAATGTGTCTTTGCTATCTCTAGATATCAGTAGATAGGGTGCCTATCTGAGCCCTCCCGTGTGTTTCATTGTATGCAGAGCTCCACAGAGTGCCACTAAGTTACAATAATGTTTTTAAAGCATCTTGTCATGTTTATATCACAAACATTTTGAATTAATTAACGAAACCTTATATTTTGCACTAATTTTATATTAAACAATATTTTTTTAAGTTTAATATAACGAAAACTTCATGTTTGCGACTGGAATAGTGCGCGACTTGTAACGGAAGGTATTTGTTAGAACATTGACATTTGACATTGTTGTTTGTTGGTTTTGACAAAGAATTGTATAATATAACAAAGAATTGTTTGTTATAAAAATCACCTCAGTAAGTATTACAGTTTGTGCTTTTCTAGCTTTAGATTGAAGCTATTGAAGTTTTAAAGTTCTTGATTACATGAACATACATGTGACTAATAACTCGTGTTTGGTGCACTCATTGCAGCAAAAGAATATGCTATTGACGAAAGAAGAAGTAATGCAGCTGGTACAATTGGTGGAGGCAAATCCATTGATGTTCAGCAAAGCCACAAATGCAAGCAATAATCAGCTCAAAGATGCGAGGATTAGGTATCACAGATAGTTTCTTGTGTATTTCATTTTTGGGGTTTGGTATTGGTTATGACTAATTACTTTTCAATACTGTTTGGTTACAAAACTTTTATATGGTGGTTGTAGTGAGGACCAAAATGGAATAATACATAACATAAACATAACATCACGCCTTTTATCCCCGAAGGGGTAGGCAGAGGTGCACATTACGGCACTTAACACCACTGTACAATGTAACACCCACTTTTCACTGTTTATGTTATGAGTCCCATGTAATAGGGGGTGAGCCTATTGCCATATACCGGGCACATTTCCAGACTCCGTGCTACTACTAAGGTTTTTACAAACCCAGTAATACTTTGCCCGACCCGGGAATCGAACCCGAGACCCCTTGCCCGGCAGTCGCACTTGCGACCACTTGGCCAATGAAGCAGAAGCAATGGAATAATACACTGAATAATATTTTTCTAGGAAAACAGAAAAGACGAGCTGATGCAGATGAAATGAGTCAATTACAGATTGAAATCAGGCAATCGCAGAATATTACTTCCAAGTCAAAAATAAAACACGACGATGAAATACATGCATTAAAGAAACGGAAACTCTAGCTAGATATACTGGAGAAGGAGAAACAACCCAATAATAATTCATGTATTTAAATAATTAAAACAGTTTATTCTAAACCATCTTTTTTTTTACACTGTGTAATTTTGCAACACATAATAATTAAAATAAATATGTAGGTAAGAATAACTGACCTATTTATATTGATACAATTATAAATTTCTCAAATTTAGTCTTCTTAGCCTAAATCTATACACAAACTCGTAATCGTCATATCTGTACATGTAATTAACACGCTCTTGATATGATCGTGTTGTGGTGTGGTGAGCACATCATCCTCGTCAGTTCCCCAGTTCCTTATTTGTTCCAAAATATCAATAGCACTTGAACTACTACTTGAACTGGAGACCAACATGATTTTTTTGTTTAAATCTGATGTATTTTTAAGAAATAGAAAAGATATGTTACTGATCTTCACTGATAACTATACTCCTATATGTATTTTTAAGAAATAGAAAAGATATGTTACTGATCTTCACTGATAACTATACTCCTATCCACCAAAATCCTGCGATAGAGCTATAGCCTACTAGGGATAACCAAAGCTACTGACAGATAGCACCTTTGTTATTATTGGGACGCGTGAACTGTCAATTTCATAGTAAAAGCAATCTGTAGATAACCTATCCGTCCTCCCACAGGTAATGACAACCATAGATTGGTTTACCTATCGCCAGTAAGTTTATTGAGACGGCAAATTTAAAGATAGATAGATTTTTCTATCTCCAGTAGGGCAAAACAAGGGATAGATAGAATATTGGGAACGGCCGCTTAAAAGAACGCTAGCAATATGTACTGCTATGGTATTCATAGGTGAAATAAAATAAGACTATAGGTTTCACACAGTTTTATTTTGGAATATGAAAGCTTTCGAAGCAAAACTTAGGATGCAAAGTAACATTACATTTAGGACAGTAAAAATTGGCTTTTTTATGACATTCAAAGCACCGAAGTTGATTGTCTCTGTATCTGATTAGGTGATCTTTTCCATCAAATCGGGACCATCGCTTCATCAATGCTATAATGTTCTTCAAATGGTGCATTGGCAACAAAACTTTTATTTAGCAAATTAAACAGTTCACGTAACTTTGCAAACTTATCACTGGTGTTTAGATTTGTATTGTCACAGCAGTGAAAATTTGTTATAATGAACGTGAATCTGTCTCTGGACATGGCGTTGTATACTAAAGGCATGCCACAATCTGCAGCGTTTTGACAGTACATAGATCTCCTAGGCTGCTCCACATATCCACTGTAAAGAAGAATACCTAAAAAGCAAAGTATTTCGTCTTTGCTGACTTTGGCAGGCGTGTTTGCATTTTTTTTGGCTGCATATAAATTTGTGTAATGTACAAACATATTTATAATGTCTTCGCCAAACACTAATTGGAAATATTGTAAAGGGCTAAATTGAGTTCTGGTGGTCTGCATATGTTGCCATGGCTCAAAACTTGGGCGACTGTCCCGTGACACCCAATCATATGTCTTTTTTTTGGAGACAGTTATAATATGACCCGTAGACTCGATGGTGGATGTTGACTGAGAAGCGAGATCTGATTCAGTAGAAACCACGCGTCTGCGTTTAGATAACTGCATGAGTGGTATGCCATCATCCTCATCACTACAATTTTCTGACTGGAAACAGGCTTCTCCCAGCGCCCGTAACTGAGATCCGGGTAAATTGTCTAGAGAAACTTGGTTTTCATCACCTGAATCCTCATCAGTGACATCAGCATTGCAGTTTTCAGGAGGCAGAATGATAATGGAATCAGGTACTTCCTCTTCATCATCCTCTTCTAACTTTTCAACTATTTCATTTAGCGTCAAATGCCGAGACCACTTTTTTTGATATCTGAAACGCATAGTAGATGATAGTAACAGATTTTGCTATTGGTTGTTTAAAAGGACGGCAATTAAAACGGAATAAAATAAATATTTGTAATGGCAATAAAATACTGACATTGCTATTAAACTTTAATTTAGGCAGCATATAACTAAGTTCTAGCCTTCTTGAAAAAATAACATATTGTTATAGTTATCATTCCTTACCTTGAATTCTCCATAGTTACAACCTTGAAATCAAAAATGTATACAAAATAGAAGATTAATTAAATCACGAACAATGAATGATGTGTCCGCTTCGTACACTTAAGACCCGTCAAATGAATAGAAACAACAATGTTATAAATACCCTCAATGTTCACAATAATTTTATTTATACATGGACCTTTTAAAAGAACGATAGCAACAAGTGGGTTAATGTTGAACAGAGATCTACGAATCTTCAAAACAAAAAGGGAGAATTCGGTTTAAATTAACTCAAAAAAAGAAATGGTGTATCCTCGGAGAACAGTTTGTAGGCACAGTTGAAGATATACATAATTATTTATCTTATGTAGGACAATTTAGGAGTAAGTATGTCCTTAAATTCTTCATTTGCAAACACAATACATATTAGCAGATTCACAGAGCAGTGAGATTTTGTGCTTTAATCAAAATAGAAATAAAAATGAAAGTGTTGTTCTGACTCAAGCATGAAAGTAGCAAAACATCTCTCCACAGTATAAAACTAAACAGTCCAACTCAAGTGGACTCATCGAGCGACATTTCGTGTGAACATAGTCCATCTGTGGCACGCTCACTGTAAGGCGATACCAAGGCGTCTGGTGAACATCGAGGAATCAAATCCTACACTACAATGTAAGTACCCGCTGATACCAACACATGTGGAATCATTCCGTTCAATTATTTCCACTAGCCGATCCCTTCGTATGGTTCCAATTGTACCTAAGTAGGTACCTACATTGTATATCATACTTGAGAATATTATGATGGCTACGATCCTCCTACCTACCGCACAAAAATTTATTGCTTTACATTAGCACCTTTTCATCCTGTAAAAAATAGCTTGGTAGGACTACCTAATGATCGTGATTTTCTATGAGGTAGAACATGGGAAAATCCCGGGGACTAAACTACGCGTAAAGACCATAAATATAATATTATAGAAAATAACGAAAAGACGTTATCCTCACAAAGAAATAAAATATGACACATAAAGAATCTATCTATTCTATGTAACTAAGCACTGAAAGTACCTACCTAAACTTAGAAACTATTAGCCGCCTAATAATATCTACTTAGTTAATGACAAATTTTTGGAAACCATCCGCAATGAGTGAGGGATACACACAACACACTTTCCACGGTAAGGTCAATTATCATAAGTACCTAATTAAGAAGGGTCGCAGTCACGGATATTTGAGGTATTGTTTTCCAGAATATCTACCTACGTTATACACCTACCTACCGTATAAGTAGTTTTAGGAAACTATTAGAAACTAAGACTTCAATGGCGAAATTAGATTTAATAAATACAATAGGTACCTACCTGATTTTTTTAAACTAAATATAGTTAAGTAAAGTAGGTATGATACTTAGGTAGGTACCTACACCATTTAATTTTAAACAAAGCGGTAAATTTTAATGGTAGGTAGGTACCTATTAGCGCCAGTAAAAAAATATGTCAGAAGATTTGAGTAGTTGCTTACTACTAGTGTCGCCAGGTGCGCCGATTTACGCGAGACGTCCCTATTTTCATTGATCTGGAGTAGGGTCCCGCAATATAACTGATCGGGACGACAATTAATGTCCCGATAAATCGATTAGATGAAAAACAAGAATCAATATAAATAATTATACATCACATTAGAATAGCGCTCAGTTCAATTTAAATGGAGTGTGTTTTGAGTGATAATTTAGGTATCAACAAATGAAGTACTTATGGCTTAAACAAGATAATAAGGCAATCGTGTTTCCTTGTACCATTATTATCCCAGTTAGAAGCACTGGACTATGGGGGTCTAGCCGGTTTGAAAAATTCCGTCAGTACAAATACTGAAGGAAGTAGGTACCAAAGTCCAAAGTACTTCCTTCCTTCCTTCGTGCGTCTACTATCGCCTTTGCGTTTTGATGAGTTGAGGAGTGCTCCGAGGAATTGTTTGATTTCTGATCTCTGTCGTACTTTCATTCTCTTATGAACTCTTAATAGTCTTATTAAGAATTTACAACTGTGCAGTTTTTTCCATCAAATAAATAGGTACGATAAGTCTGTTCAAGTGTCCCCTTTTCTAAAAAAAGACGGAAATTGATTCGGCATCGTTCCTAGATCCATTCATTTCGTATTTTTATAATAAGTACTTGCGAAACGGTTCCTATAAAAACCTCTTTGATTTTGGTTTGTCCTGATTTACGACCCAAAATCCCGACTTATTTTACCTGCCTACCTTAAACGTGCCGATTTAAAACAAATCGGACCTGTCAACACTAGTTTCTACCTACCTTGTCTCGTTGGTAGGTACGACAAATACCTATTGGACTTACATGAATACATTGCTTCATTCATCTCGTAGATCAAAAAAGTACAGTTTACCAATTACTTCCACAATCAATTTCTACGTATATAGGTTAAAATCATCGGTTATAGGAAATACAGGTACCTATTGGTGTTATGAATTTGAAAGTTGATAGTGCACAATCATAAAGTAGCAATAATATATTAGGTATTCAGATCGCACAAAAAAATTAAAACAAGGGCGCGAAACGTTGTTAATTTGCTTATGTCAAGCAAAATATTTTTGGTTGTTAGGTTGGTGGAACTGAAAATCGCAGCGTTTCAATTCAACAATATCGATATTTTAAGCATTTTTATTTGCTAAATAGGCAATAAGTATAATGTTTTTATTTAATACGATTTGATGTTAAAAAAGCTATTAAAAGCCAAAAGAATATATTAATGAAAATCAATCACGGTGATTTTAGAAATTAATATTTCTAAAAATTGCAGATAATATAACACAACAGCCTGTCAAAATTATTGCTGTCAAATTTGTCAAATAGTTCATTTGACAAATCGAATTTATTCAGTCAAAAGGAAAATGTTATCGGGTTTGTGATTAAAGTTCCCATTATTGCAATAATATGAAAGTTTTTGGTAAAGATAACATGTGTACTCATGAAGATTATTGAGCGACATTATTAATGGCCGATTTACCGAATGGCTGGGTTCAGCTGGTAAGTTTACCCGACCCTTCCTATTTATTTAATCGGGATCCGATTCATAGTGTTTCGCACTTGTTTGTATGCCTGCATTGTCTTCCTTGAACTCTATAATTGGATAAATTGTCCAATTGAACGGGCAAAGTACTTGCGTTTGTTTTCAGTTTCAAATGCAATCCTTGTGTAAATGTGTATCATTGCAATAGATGTATTTATTTTGTTCAGTTTAATAGTTGCCCTAATTTAATCCTCAGGAATATATTAAAAATATTTGTATCTACATCCTTAATATATTTTTTGAACTTTTAATTTAAATGACTTATAATTTTTGACTAACTTTTATTTTACTTATAATTAATAATGTGTGTATTTGTTGCAGGTACCTTTCTGAAGGCTTCCAAGTTATTATTGAGAAGTCGAAGGACGCAAAATGCTCTCTAAAAGATATCCAATTGCGTTTCTTGTGCCCTGATGACCTAGAGGAGGTTTGTATTGCAATTATTCATGACCAAAACAATAATTTGACCCTGTGATCAAATTAACAAGTGATTTTGGAACATACACAATGCTCTGCAAATTAGAACCACAAACCTTTACTCTTTGCATTTATTTATTATTTTTAAACTTGTGGTCCGGGCAGCTAAACAATTAAGCGTGATTCTTAATTTAACAATTATTTTACTATTACATTTACAGTATTTGAAATCAGTTGTCTAAATTATATTTTCCCCGTGACTAATGTTATTATTTCGCAAGTGCCTTGCATGACTCAGTTATATGTTCACATATCTATATGGCTAATGTCTGTAATGCACAATAATATGAACTATTACATCAGTAATTAAATATCACCTACCAAGTACAACTACAACAAGTACTGCTTCCTCACATCCGATTCCTAAGTCAGCCAAAGTATCGAGTTTTTCAAAATTTTGTAATCAATCCGTAATAACACTGAGTTTGGAATTGTGCCTGGTGTAAAATACATCTCAATCCATGTTTTATGTAGGTCGAATTTTATTTCAATGGGAAAAATTATTGTATGACTTCTCCCTGGGTGAGGTGGGAGAGAGTATTTAGGTAGGATAGTACCTATAAAACTGATGATGATGGTGATGTTACTCTGCCTAACCCCTTGAGCAGTTAAAAGATGTAATGTAATATATCCATGTTTGTGTATAAATCACAAGCATTTGTAGTTTGGGGAAATCCATTATTGTCATGTGCATTAGTTTTTTTATTGTTATGAACTTCAATGCCACTGCCCGGTCATTGTTGAATCTCATACATTCTTTATGAGATTGTAATAAATAGATACTTAGATAACAATGCAAACAAATTTTTTATTACATTATTTTGCAGTTATTCAAACTTGAGGATTAGTGACTAATGCTTTTATGTTTTTGTTTAAAATAATTTAAGTTCTTTGAAATTGTATTAGGTAACTTATTCTGGCCGATAAGTTGTTTTAGTATTCAATTAATAAAATAATTAGATTGAATAAATTAAGTAGGTAATAACTCATTCTAATTCATATAAACGAAAAATGAATAACACATTCTCAAACATTTTCAGGTGAGATCTCTGTGCAGAGATTGGTTCCCTATAGAATATCCACAGTCCTGGTATGAGGACATAACATCGTCAGAAAGATTCTTTGCCCTAGCAGCAGTGCACAAAAGTGAGATTATAGGCCTTATTGTGGCAGAAATAAAGCCTTATTTGAAACTGAATGCGGAAGATCGGGGAATACTATCAAGATGGTTTGCATCAAAGGACACACTTGTTGCTTACATACTGTCTTTAGGTATGTGTTCCCATTATATCTGTACTTGTATAACAGTGAAGTCATAGATATTCTAGGGTCATGGCTCATGGACTAGGTTACAGAAAAATGAACCTAATTGCATTATCATAAAGCATAGTAGTAGCCAGTTTACAGTTGTTTTACCTGTTAGAGTGCTAACAAGACAAGTAATATGGCATATATATACCTGCTTATCAAAATTAATTCAAGGGTCTAATGACATTCTGTTAATAAGTTATCAATGTAATGCACACATGGTTGTGAAACTTGGAATTGAAAAATCTTTAGGAAAATAATAATTTCGAGGTATTATGGAAATACTTCGCAATAACAGGAACTGCATTTTTTTTTAAATTATGGTATAATATATTATGTTGTTTAATTGTACTTAATTGGGAACTAAAGTAGGTATACATATAAATACTCAACTATCAAGGTTAACGATTCACTCGCACGCGAAAGTAGTCCTTGATGTAGACTTAATAAGTTTGTATTTTGTGTGATGTAACTGTTGTACAAGTTGTTTATAAATGCAAGACCTTGCCGGTACTGATTCTGGCGTCAAGTTTCGATTGAACCGTTAACTCTGATGGTTGAGGTTACTTTAGTATCTAATAACTCAATGAAATAAAATATTTTACATCTTTAGTATCTACCTACTACTACACATATGACAGAGACCCATGGCAGCGTTTTGATAAACCTGAATCCTTAAACTGATTTCCAACCCGCCTGCCGCCTTTGGAGATCATGGCAAACCCTTATGCCTCATGTAGAGGCATAAGGGTGACACCCAACACCCAAGCGTGCGTCACGCGTATGGACCAATTTTGATAATTAGTTTTTTGTGTTTTTATGGTCAGGTTTTCTTACATTTTTTTTTTCTTATGAAAGACAGAGGCAAGCTTCTAGTATCTCTATAAAAAACCTCTCTCCTACTCTTGTTTATGTATTTGTATGGTTGACTTCAGGAGTAGCTCGTTCGTTTCGGCGCTCGGGTGTGGCGACCATGCTCCTGGACGTCCTGATCAACCACCTGGCGGGGCCTGTGCCGCAGCCGCCTCATGAGCACCGCGTCAAGGCAATATTCCTGCACGTACTCACAACCAACACAGAGGCTATACTTTTTTATGAACACAGAAGGTGAGTGTTATTGTTATTTCTATAGTCAAAGTTAATTTTTTTATAAACCGGAAAGACTCTTGGGATGAGACAAAAAACAAAGAATTGCTGTCGGTATAAAAAAATTATATCTAATGTCTCTAAGATTGGTGGTTTGTCAATTTTTATATTATTAGACCTATTCTGGATCACATAAAGTATTGTTCTGTGCTGGAAACGAACCAGTGAAACGTTGCGTAGCCATCAATATTGCGCCAATCTCCAGTAAAAGTAATAAAGTCGGTTGTATAAACTTTAAATAAACCATACTATTGTATAACGAGAGTCGGCTTACCTATTGAAATAATACAGCATATATTAATACCTGCATATCGTCGGTAGAGTACCAGCAACAATGGTGTATTTATTATTGTTTTTCAAGTTTCCTTAATAAATAGGCATTAATTTAATACTCATAATATAAAACATCACGACATTTCCCTAAGGACTTATTAGCTTGTGTAAAGTGTATTAATAGTCAAGTAGGTACCAAGCTCCATAGTAATATTCTAAGGAAAAAACAGTTTCAAATACGTAATGAATACTTAATTTGCTTTTGGGAATTACTCATGCGCAACGTTCTTGAAAGTCATGACCGCTCATCGATCTGCAGGTAATCTTTTGAAAAATAAATCGTCTGTTTAGTGCATTACGGTCTCTTTTACCGTGTACATTATAGCATTGAATGAAATTACGATTGTCTATTAATAAATTTTTGCGACATTTTTCTTTATCTCATGTGGAAGTATTAATTTGATGTAAAATAGATTGATAAAGTGATGTAACAGTGTGACTCAATTATTATTATATCACATTGTTGAAAAATAATTATTGATACAATATCGATACCTACATACATACTTACCGATATAGATAAACTGGTCAAGGAATGCACCACTACCGACCACGATAATTCTAATTTGACTTTTAAGTCGAAATATCGACTTGAATAAAATAATATAAGTACTCTGTGCGTATGTATTTTACAGATCATCAGTATTGTTATATAAATAGCCATGGAATGCTTGTTTTATAGCCGTTATAGTCCATGAATATCATGGTTAGTCATAAAAACTAGTAATGTCCACATAACAAGGTTTGGCGGAAACGTATCTTATCTAAAAATTATCAGTTTATTGTCACATTATACCATACGTACATATGTACCAACTAACTCGGTTATGGTTAGTTATTTTTGCGACTAATCTGCAAAATATAATTATGTCAAACTAGATTTAACTATTAAGATCATTTTTGTGTTATAAACTGCGAATAGTTCATTCAAACGTGTCTATTTATCGATATTAACAGCAATATGCCAGTAGGTACGCATATATGTATAAAATCACTAATGTTCTAAAAAATACTTAATAGGCATTCACAAAAGTACATGGTACAAATATTGGACAATAGTTTCTTGTGGTCTAATTGAATTATTAGAATTTCAGAAACAATTTCATTCATTTATATGACTTTTACTAGTGATAGGAACAATCCAGAAGGTTTCCTATTTGGTAAAATTCGGTTCAATATTATTCGATGACTACGTTATCTGTCCTATCTTTAATATAAATAATGTTATTTTTTATCTATATCACATCTAATATACTTAGCTCCTTAAACGTTACCATTTTATCTTCAATTTATAGATATTTCACCTATTTTTATAGTATGATTTTTATCTACGAATCTTGATGTCAGCGTCACCTTGACCTGTATTGCTATAAATTGAAAATTACTGAACAAATGTAGTGTATTTTTACGTAACAAAAAATTTGAATATATTTTCTTCTAAAGAAGTCTCTGAAATTTATTCTGGCGATTTACCTTGGTACACAATATCCCATTGGCTTAAAATATCATATCAAAGCATTTATTACGAAAAATTCTAGTAAGAGGTGTATTGTTTGTTCGTTAGATTTCGTCTGCACTCGTTTCTGCCGTACTACTACTCGATCAAGGGGCGATGTAAGGACGGGTTCACATATGTGTACTATGTGAACGGCGGGCACGCGCCGTGGGGCCTGTACGACTACGTGAAGTACGTGGCGCGCGCGGCGTGGCGCGGCGGCGGCCTGTACCCGTGGCTGTGGACCAAGCTCCGCACCGCGCTCACCATAGCCTGGCACAGGTAGTCCACCCCCGGCGTCGCCGCAGATACTAACGTGTTCGCGTGCACTCCATCTTGTACATACTTGTGTGTGACAGCTCCTTGCCGAGCTCTCGTGCTTCAGTGTAAATGTTGTATCGGGAATTGGATCCATTCCTATGTAAATACCTAGTCCAAACGAAATTTGTATTTGCGATAACGTGTACAACTGGCTGCGTCTGGCATGTGTCTGTGACGTGATTGTATGTGACGTGACGTTTACATCCGCAGGTTCAATGTTCAGTACAGTACCGACTCCTAACTACGTAATTATAGTACACAATGTTTTCGGTAGTTTTAAAACTAGATTTATTTTACCTATCTATCGTTTTGCAAAGCATGTTTTATGATGGACGAAAAGTCCGTCGAAGTAAACATAACTCGCCCGATATTTTATTTTTCGTACGTGTAACAGGAAAATAGCTGCCGCTATATAAAAGGAATTGTTATTATTAGTATTTAGTTGTTAAGTTAAATATTTTGCATTGTGTTTCTAACTCTACGCATTCCGTGACTATCTCTCATCATGAGCTCGATATATTTGGGAACATTTATTGATTTTGGTTACATTTTGCTACGTTTTCAGAAATTCCCACAAAACGTAGAAGTGCAGTGTGTGCGCAGTGGTTGAACGAGAGAATTTATGAAATATCAATAAGTTATGGATAATTTATAGAGAGCACTGTTTGTTGTTTTATACGTTGACGTGAAGCCAAATTTGATACAAGTATTTTTGCACAAGTAACAACACACTATGTGCTGGTGACACACGTTTATACGATACGTATCTAGGATAGAGACACCGTACACGAACTAATTCAAGCGACTGAGGTCCCCAAGGGACTGTCAATTTGGCTTCATATATTAAACTGACAAAGTTATTTGTGATATTTTTATTACTCAAAGCTTTAAATTTAATAATTCATTGTATTTTCATATTGTGCGAACAAATAATTGACACATTTACACGTAATATTAATTTGGTTCAAATAGTTGCGTTTGTTTGAGTGTTGCGGAGGGCATCGAATGCTACAGAAATATTACAAAGTGCCACGTGCCATGATATACTGCCAAGATTACTAAAGTAAGGTGCCTGTGTGTTCAATGTAAGTAATGTACGGATAAACAATAATATTGTAACAATAACATTTATTTACGCAATATGTGCAATACCTGTATCGGCTATGAGAGCAATGCTAACGGAGAGATCGCTACGAGGTCGGGGCAGGTATCAGCGCAATTCAGATCACCAACCTTATTAAGTTTTGTACAAATAAGAGTCCTGTGACTTTGACTTAAGGTTCTTTTCAAATTTAATTATTTCCAGATAAACAGACTACGGTGTGTAACCACCGTCGTCATAATAATTGTGAGAGTTGTTTAAATGCTCAGTTAGTCCTTTCTAAGCACGAACACTGAGCACTGAGCAGATACGAATTAAAACCATTCTAACTAATGATGCCTTTCAACCATTATTAAAAGGAAATAACTGCTACAATTTAAATTATTTCTCTTTTTAATATGACGAAAGCGCTCTAAAAGCGTTTGTTGCGTATAAACCTAGGTTATTTAGGAATCACAACATTTATTTTTTTATTTGTTTTACTTATAAAATGTATATCCGTCCCGAATAAAAAATAATGTAGGTACAATATTAATTAAAGTCACAAAGTAAAAATAAATATATTATTATTTATGTGATGACTTCTAAAATATATTAATATACAATACATTGCATACATATAATCGTTAATAAAGACGCTCTGTGTATAACGGAGTCATGGTTTATTGATTTCGATATTGTAGACCTTTGACATTAGGTCAGTCACATGACGCGAATAATGAGTAGGTACCAAGATTATACTGGGTTTAATATTAGTCAGACCCAATTTTATAGGTATTATCCCAGTAATATTAAAAATACGAAAATTTGTGATGTAGATTGATGAAATCTGTATAGAATTTGACACTGAAATGATGATACGTAGGGTTTATTTTACTCTGGTAACACGCGCAAAGCCACAAGCAGAAGGGAGTTGAATATACAACACTCCATGGCTTATCCTGCAAGCCTAATGAACCTTACAATGGCAAGGCATCCATTTAAATATTACGTTTAGTGAAACTAATTCTTTTTCTTATTAAAAAAGATTTAAAAATCCGTCTCCTAAAAAAGGATGCGTGGGTTTTCGTAAAGTACATATTTTTTAGAATATTTTTTTAGTTTGATGTTGAAAACAAAGTACAACAAAGCAGGTTTCTCGATAATTTATAAAAAAAAATCGTTTTTATTTTATTATAGAACACAGTTTTCCTTGATCTGAATTGGAAGGGCTGATACCTGTTTGTACCCCGAGAAGAACGTCCATTGTATAATGTACTGTAATACTACACAACACGTTAGAGTTTTCTTTAGATTACTGTAAATTAAATGTTCTAGTGGTTTATGTAAATAGTTTTAACGAAATAATTATATATAGGCATGTATGTACAGATTAAATAAGACGAATTTAATATATTATCAAAAAGGCTGTCGTATTATTTCACGTGCCTACTTGTCTGAAGTTTTGTGAAGTATTAAAGTAAGATCGAGACATTACGCAGTTTCTTTGAATGAATATTTAGCTTGACCTGTCTCTCCGATACATGGCATTGAATACAATAATTGTGAGCGCTAGGGAGCCTTTTCTCTCTAGAGCTTTTAAGTAAATTTACACTACCTAGCCGATAATGGTTTTTATTAAAGTTTCTGTCAACTCTGTCGTGTATATTTTGGGCACAGAACAATGGATTTCTGCATTCAGTCACCCCAGTGTACGTAGTTTAATGAATGTACTCACGTGAACCAAAGTATTTTAATGTCTTAGTTTTGTTATCACTCACTCACTCGATGTTTTATTATTTTTAATAATTAAGTATTAATCAAATTAATGTTTATCGTCTATGTGACAATTGAGTATTATTATTTGGACCATTTTTTAAATTATTTCTATATTTATTTAAATTCCAAAAGCAGTCATGATAGTTGATTACGTGTCTAACGTTGTAATTTGTGATATTATCATCGTTTAGATTGTTTCGAAGTATTTTAAAAGTTTTGCAAAATTGTAATGATAAGGTCGACATTTGTGTGTTAACTGTCCTTTTCTATAATATAGCACGTTCCTAATGTTAAAATGGAAAATTTTACGTTATAATTCTATGTTTAATACTCTAAAATAGAATATATTTTAGCTTCCAAATAAATATCATTGTTGACTAATAATAGTATTTTCGTTTATGTACCCAGTTACCTCATCTCTTCGTAAGGCTTTAAAGGAAACATTCAGTAACAATTTCAGAAAATGTTTAATTTTAATAATTGCTTCATTTTTCATCAACTATGCTGTACAAACTATATCGCTTACATTAGAATTAGCAATTAATAATTGCACGTAAAAAAACTTAACAAATAGGTTTCTTCAACTTTTCGATTGGAATGAACGATTATTACAATAAGTAATATTTTTACAATATTTATAACTCTACGAAATGAAAATCTATTCAACAAGCAGTCACAATCGCCCAATGATATGTTAAAATTATTTGTATATAATTTTAATGTTATTGCATTCTAAGTATTAAAGTTCGCTTCGTGTGTGGGGCGTGGCGAGTGTCCGCGTGTCTACTGGGGTCAGTGGCCCGCCTGGCGCGTCAAGCAAGAAGCGCCCTCTACACACTACGTTACTAGGTTGTCCCTCTCTGAAGCGCCGCCCTTGTGGTTCTGGCCTTTGAAGTCTTTCAATCTAATCGGCGACGACTCGCTGCCAGAATCGCCCTGAAACATATTATCGACACATATTACTAAGATCAGACAATCGCCTTTATAACTCTCCCCATTTCGACTTGAGGACCCTGTAGGTACCTAAAGTTAGTAGACAAAGCAATTAGAATATTTATAGGTACCTATTCATTACCTACACTTTGTTTTGTTAAACAGTAACACAATAAAGAATACGTACGTTGGCACCGAGCGAGGTAGTCTCCTGGAGTAGCAGCTCGCTGTCGGTGCCTCGTGACTCCTTATTCTTGAGAATGGAGCGTGAGCGTGAGTCGCCCTCTAGCGGCCAGCCGCCGCCGCGTTTGTTTCCGTTCTTACCTACACAAATTCGCGCAAAACAATATCAATAAGTTTCCAAATACATGACATCTCCAGAATTTTAACCATCCTTCTATTAGCACCATCATCATATCAGGCACAAGACGTCCACTGCTGAACATAGGCCTCCCCAATGACTTCCAGATCGGCCGGTTAGAAGCACCCTGCATCCTATCAATCTTTTGCTAAATTCAAAAAATAGTTAGGTAATATTATTGCCCTCAATATAGACGCGCAGTTAAATTACAATAAAACATGATGATTGTTACGAGTAATCAAACCACAAACCAAACATTTTCAGGTTAGGGAGTCGGTAATGTAATGTAAATTATGGGTACGTAATAAGCTTGCAACTATTATCTTTGAACCCTCTCCCAGCCTATCATCAGCCAACTACATGTTCCCGTAGATCCTTTGATATAGAGAAGCAATTCGTTCATGAGCTACCGGCGAACCGTGTAACCAAAGCCTAGATCAGCTTATTCAACCTAGTAAATTGCTCTCTTGCTTGCCTCGATTTTTAGAATCGAATCATCTTGTTGCATGTAAATTAGTTTAGGTTGTGTGTTTTGTCTCGTATCTAGGATATTTTCAGTGTAGTAACTTTAAAGCGCTTTGATTATATAAGAATAGGTATGTATCTAATAGCTTACGTATACAATAACGTATTTAAAATGAGACGAACCAAAAAGGATGTGATGATTAATTATCCTCGTAGCTATCCCTCTCGGTGGCTTCCTCTCTTCCTCCGTCCAGTCCTGTGGGACAAACGATCATGTTCGTGTTACCCACATGACCTTAGAAATAAGCGTAGTTAAAGTATGAAGGCCATGACAACTCGTGCAGTTAGTACATTGAAGTATTAGTCAAACTATACACAGCTACATCATGCAAACATGACGTACAAGTTTGGGAAGACACGAACATTGGGACACACTACCGAACCATTCATAAAAGCTCTGCGTGTGGAGTCGGTGAGCGGCGCTGCGGGTCGCTGTCGCTCACCTGTTGGAAGCGGGCCTTCCTGTGTTTGGGCTTGGCGTCGTCAGCGACAGGGGGCGCGTCATCCAACTGCTGCGGTAGGCTGGTGCGAGAGGCGTCCAGCGGCCTTGCGATGGCCACCGCGCCCGCGGCCGGCAAGGCCCCCGCGCCCGACAGGCTGACCCGAGACCCTCGCGGCGACCCTTCGCCCTGTGAACCTTTGGCACACAACACGCTTCCATCCCCAGATGCACTCCTGCGCACTCCGTTAAATTCGGCACTGACCCCGCCCCCACCCCCACCCGCTCCGCCACCGCCGCTACCATCCAGAGGATTCACATACAAGTTTGATGAGTCGTTCTCGCATGCGATGTCGCCCTCTGAAGGAAAAGGGTGCGTAAGGCATGATGCAAATGTATCTGTAACGTAAGACATAATACGCACATGGAGCCGCACACCACCAGGTACGGCGTATGCTGCTCGCACACATATACAGTAGGTACGTATGGTTACAATATAGTGGGTACACATACATATGTGCCGAAAGGACATCGACATTACGACAGTGAACGAACAAGGACAAGATAGTGATAATAATTTAATTTATTCTACGCCTACGGGTTGATAACACTTAAAAACATTAACACAAATCTAAATGTAGAAACTATCTATGCATCTTGTAAACAACAGAAATAAGTTTAATGAATGCATTTAACGCGTTAAGGTAGTTCCCGGTGTCTTGGTATATTGTCTAAGTCTGTTGTTTACAATATTTAGACAAGTTTGTAATGTTTAGTACCTGGGCTGTCGAGACTATTGGGGGTGGCTTCGGGCAGAGCTTTGGGCGCAGGATGCCGTAGCAAACACGCCAGTTCGACGCACACCGGCTGCCGCAGGTCTGACGTCGACATCGGCATCAGCTGCTCGGCGTCGATGAACTCCTTGTACCCCTACACCAAGGTGTATAACGTACCATCAATTCCAATTACAAATAAATTACCATATGTAAGTAGAATTATAATAATTGAAGTTATGTTTACGTTTTCATTTAAATATATGATATATTTAATACATAAATTTCCTAACAAAGACTTTTATTTTAGACGCCAACTAATAAGTATTGATTTTCCAAATAGGTAGATAGGTAAGTTTGACGGCAGTTACCTTCATGTATCCTATGTTAATAAAATGATTAGCTGCAAACATATAATTAAACCGAGCAAAATCATACAAACCTACGGTTGGGCAATTCTTACACAAATCTAAAATAATAAGTAAGTAAATACTTACAGGTTAATGCTAAATGGAAATATTATTATTATTAGTATTTAATAGGTACACCAAATAATAACGAAAATCGCATAATTACATAATTAATAATGAGGCGTCTACAAGTCATGAATGAGTTAGTATCTTAGTACCTTGAACGTGCAAAAACAACATTCAAACTCAGAAGGCAGCTGATCCAAGTCAAGCTGTTTGTCAGCCATCTTCTTTTCCTAGAAAAAGAGAAACCATTAGTATTCAGTTATTTCCATTACTACCTTAAGGTTAGATAAGAAGTGAACAAATCCAAACCGTCGACGAAGTGCTGCATCGCTAAGAATAAATCTTTTGGAAAATCCTTCGGAAATGCAACCCATGCGGTGCTCGCCGACGGTTCAATAAGCTTTATAACTGTATGCGTTTCAAATTTTGCTGTGACAAACAGGCAGCTATGACAGTTCTACAATGATTAATTCTCGAATCGGCAACAAATGTTAGCGTAGATGTAAACATAGGTGATATCTTACTGGTGTAGGTTCAGGATTTATGAGCAAGCGTTTCTCCGGCGAACCGAAGCCCTCGTTCGAGTAACGGCGCTCTTTCTGAGGGCTGCTCTGAAACTGTTTCCTACAGTGTTAGCGGAAAGCATATTGCTGCAATTTTGACTACAGCTTCAAAAGGGTCCGTCCAAAGCTCAAAGCGAAAATGTTAAAGATAGTAAACTCTCCTTCTTCTTTAGCGTAGGTACTGCAAATATCTGCTAAAGCAAAAATATTATGTGGTGTGAAGTTGCAGAACAAATTATTAGCGAGAAAGAATTCTTGTGAGCATAGAAAAATTGCCGAGCTCGTTGGACTCACCCTACGCTAGCCAAGATGATAATTGGACGTACCCGTGTAAGTGAGCAAGAGTTATTACCTGGCCAGGGTCGCCACTCTGAGGCAGTTTATTGGTGATGGAGTGTTCGTACTGTTTGTAGCAGCCGGTGGTGGCCGGAGCCTCGCCCTCCAGACTAGTGGCGTCCGCCTGCGACAAGTTGTGTCCTGAAGACACATACCACTGTGAGTAGCGACGTATTCCATATGCTTCAGTATTATCCCCGTATATAAATATTTTTTTCAATAGTAAGAAGAAACATTTAGGACAACAAAAATAACGGCGTGAACTACACAACACACATTCCACACGAACAGTACAGTACACAGAATCCAGCGTCCTCCGGATACACACATCAGACAGTCCACAGAAGAGGAGTGTTAGTTCTAAGAAGCGTTAGGCTTACGCTGACAATGTAATCGACCTTAGATTATAGTCTTCGTCGCACATCGCTAGCTACACGCGATGGACTCGACCCCGAGTAACAGACTTAATATAAAGGGGTCGAGTGAGACCACTGTGACAGTGGCAAGATGCTCATCTGGCGTCGTCTCTCGCCTCAATGAGGACGCACTTGTCACCTGAAGACAAGGAATAAAACTCTCTGAGTGCACCTCGCCGCAACCAACGAGTGAACATAGCTGTAGCTGCGATGTATCGTGAACTGTTTGTTTTGATTTTGAAGATGTCTGCGAGTCCGGAGAGCCATCGATGCGACGTGCACACATTCAACATTCATTGCATCCAATAAACACAGACACTGTTTGAGCACGGAAGGCATGCGTGCACAGTGAGAGATAAGTAAACATGCATTCCGAGCAAGAGACATGACATGGACAAGCAGCAAGCGAGTGGTCTACGCGATACTGACCTGTGTCCACGATGACGTCGATGAGGTCCATGCTCTTGGCGAAAGCGTCGCGTAAGTTTATATGATGGAAGGAAACGATGGAGCCCTCGCGCTTGGCGCGTTCGAGCGCCTCTCGTCGCTTGAGCGCCTTTTCGCGCCGCATCTGATTCTTGTAAAACTCGGCGAAATTGTTGACGATAATGGGGATGGGTAACGCAATTACCAACACGCCGCAAATACAGCAAACTGAGCCGATGACCTTGCCCAACGGGGTCGTGGGGTAAATGTCACCGTATCCGACTGTGGTCATGGTGATGCCGGCCCACCAAAACGTTTCCGGAATGGAAATAAATTTAGTTCCCGGCTCTTCTTTCTCAGCGAAATATGCCAATGAGGAGAATATGAGTACTCCCATCGCAAGGAACAACATGAGCAATCCAAGCTCCTTATAGGAGTTTCTGAGCGTGAACCCGAGCGACTGTAGCCCGGTCGAGTGTCGGGCGAGTTTAAGAATGCGCAATATTCGCATAATACGAAAAATTTGCACAACACGACGCACGTCTTGAAACTGGTCAGTGGCGTTCTTATTGGTTTCGAGCAAGAAGAGAGATACAAAATAAGGCAATATAGCCAGTAAGTCTATCACGTTCAGTCCACCTTTGAAGAACTTCCATTTATCCGGCGAAGCACTAAACCGCAGCACGTACTCGAGCGTGAACCACGTGATGCACACCGCCTCGACCATGGCCAGCTGCGGGTTATCCATGGGCGCGCCCTTGTCGTCGTATACTTGCATCTGGGGTATCGTGTTGAGAGTGAGCCCTATCGTGGACAGCACGATGAAGAGGATAGAGATGACCGCGATGACCTGCAAGCACGCACCAGTGAGCGGCGAGCGACAGGGAGGCCCGCGCTCGTCGCCACTGCGCTGCCACTCTGTGCAACTAAACCTCGTTACTCGTACCTACTTATGCCACATGTGTCAGATCCGTGTTTATACAGAACTACTCTTCCTACACGTTTGTACATAGATAGTTACTACTTAGGTAAACATTCGAATGATACTGTAGTAGGTAGGTATAGGTATATGTAAGTATTTACAGAAAAACGGTAAAAGCCAATATCGTATGTAACAAATGTCTTATAATAGTAGGTATTCTTAAATTTTGGTGTAGAAATAACATCTATTCGTGTGACTATGTTAGTAGTGTTGTGTGATTTGGTGTAGATAAGTAATTTATATTAAAAAAAGTGTGGGTGAACGGACGCGCGTCCGAGTTCGAACTGATATAGGTACGCCTAGAGCAGGAGGCGGAACGAAGCAGACGCTCGTCCGTCCATCGCCCGCATCGCTCGGTTAGTCGGATCAGTATCACGAAGCGGAAGCGCTGGTGGAGTAGGTTTCGGAGCGGGAGTCGAGTGGGAGCTGGGATCGGACAGGCAAGGGAGGGTGGGGACGCCGGCGGGCGACGCCTTGCCGTGGTGGGAGGCGGCGCGGGCGCAGCGAGGCGCACGTCGGACGCCGGTCCGGCGGGCGCCCGCGCTGTCCCGTGCCACCCCGCACGCCGGCCACTGTGCGCCGCCCCTGCGGCGGCTGGTCACATCGCGTAAGCCCATCCCATCTTTGCAATTTTGCGACAACAATTAAGCTTTGTTTTTAATAAGTTCTCCATATCGAGAACTATCGACGCGGCTGTGAACATTTATAAAAATTTACTATAGTAAAGTATTATTTACAATCCAGAAGATTGCCGTGAATTATAACATTTGATAATAAGCGAATAATCTTACTGCAGCTTATTATAGCTTTGAAAAGGAGTAAGTTAACATCGTCAAATACGTTATTATTTTTTTGCAATCTAACCACATATTTTACCGCAAAAATGTTTTAGATGTAGCAATAAAGTTTTGCGATCAAACCTCCTTTTCAAAAAGTTAAGCACTATGCGTAACTCGACGCATAATGTCCTTTGTGGGTACACCACAACACAATAATATATAATAACAATCAGTATTAACACATTGTTAGTATGTCTGTTATCACAAATATTAAATTTCAATACAATACATCTTGTGTTGTAGAATACTGTGTCTTATACTTAATTTACAATAAAACTGTTTATTGACGTATAAAATACAATAATTAAATACAGTAATTTTATAGAAATTATAAATATTGATAAATATGAAAAACTGTTAAGCTGTGTTTTATTTAACTTTCATGTGATATATAAATAAGAAAGTAAGTTAAAAGTTTGTAATTTTTAACAAATATAAAATACTATATACGTATAAATCAAAATATTTACACTAAATGGTACTTACATACACATAAAGTTGCACCGCTGTTGTCGAAATTTAAATAGCAAGTGGAAAATATATGCTACGGAGTAAGCTGAAAGGTGCTCAAACGAAATAGAACAGTACACAACACAATATCGATTCGACAAAAGCGATCAAAGGTCACATCACAACACATACAAGTGGAACACAACACCACATTCCATTACCGACGACACAAACTGACTTGCGACACTGAAGGAGGAGCCAGCGATAGATGTTATTCATGCACCACAACACAACATAATATAGGTAAGTAGTTATAAGTAGTACCTATAATACACAGTTATACTAAGCTTGTTTCTTGTATTGCATTTATTGTAAGCTCAGTATTAAAAGTGTCAAGTCCTTCAAGTGTGTAGCAAAGTGAAATGTGTTCAGATTACGAAACGAAACAAGCCTTATATGTACAAATAAGATGTAAGTAGTTGTTTATCAGTTATGTGTTTATATAATATTGTAGGTGTAACAGGTTGTCTTACAATAGTGGAATGAAAGTGGACATTACTTAACATAATGTTTATGTTCATGGATGTACAGTAAACGGTAGGTACTGAGTGCTTACAGTGCTTAGTGTACCTAACTTTAGTGAGTATAATATCATTAAACTCGTGCTCTTAATGTAATGTATCAAACTTGTACAAAAACTACATCGGCATTTATCTACCAGTGACAGAACAATTCTTGCGCACATGGACATCTCAAGAGCTTTACTCAAAACTCACAATTCACAAAAGCATCTATCTAAAAGTAAACTATTATAAATTAAGAAATAAAAGAAACAGTGGAACCCTTGGATACCTCTCCCTTAGTCTACACTATCCTCGGCAGCGTTGCTAGAGTCGCAGGGTTAATAATATCGATAACTTGTTACTGTTTTGGTCGGGTGCGTCGCGATACGTTACCCTGGCTGCAATACTGGTGGTCGGCTTCTCGAGGAGGTCCCAAAGCCACTTCTGGTATTGAGCACAAGTGCCCTGACCGAATTCCTCTTCCTCTCGCTGCCGCAAGCTCTCGGCTTCCTTCCTCATCTCCTCGTGCACGTGCTCCTTGCGCTGGTGGTACTTATGCTGACAACACGACTCCAGGTACAATTCGTCCACACCCCAATACTCGAGATCATCGCTAAACGCCAACACACACATTTCATCAACTAAATGTAACTTTCCAGTTCGATAGAAATTGAGTATGGAACTGAAGCTTTTCGGATGCCTGGAAAAAACAAACCATTTTCTTGAGACCTATGTTTTCAGAATAAATGACTATCTACAGAAATGTTGTATAAAACCTACCTATCGAAAAAGTACTCATTATCTTGTAACGAGTAGTCGTCACAAAGTTCCGTGATGGCTTCATGAGTGTTGCAGTCCCTGAGGCGGCCGAGCCTCGTGTGCGGCAGCCGCTCGAGTGTGCGCCACAGCACCTCGTGCCGCACTCCGCCCACGTTGATGATCACTCGCTTGCTCAGCGCCTTCGCGCGGAGCATCATAAACGGCTCCGGCGGTAGTGACGACATCGACCTGAAAATAAACAAATGTCAATATTAGATTAATCCATAATGTGAAGAAAGGATTAAAGTATAAAAAACACTAACACTTGAAATGAAAGACGTGTTGTTGTTAATTATTAAAAAAATAGATAATTTAGCAGTCGAGGCTTGATCGAAAGTAACTTTATTCCTTCTATATTTAAACCCTCATTTCCTCATTTTGCGTTACGTAATCGCAAAGATATGTCTGAGTGACCAATTAAAAGAAAATCGTTTTCATTCACGACCAAAGAGCTTTTGCTGTTCAATTTCATGAAAATACAAACGATTTTCTAGTTTATTCAAAAACCAAACTGTCGCGCCTATGAATAGTTGGGGACACTCATAACAGGGGTTGCTATTCAGATGGAATTCCCTGAATACGTCCGGAAAATCAATCGGAGGGGAAGGTACGAAGGGGTTGGAGTTATACTAACGCCTACTCGGCTGTTTCCAAACATTTTTAATACAACATAAATTATTATAGCAATGAAAGAATAAACTACATCACACTTCTGATACAATATAAGAATCGTTATCGACATTAAGGCTCAATATTAAAACTTGTCTATAAGTTCAAGAGCTGAAATCAATAAGTATTATTTATCTCTTATAAAAATTGATTGATCCATGTCCATCCATCCTTTTTATCTACATGCGACGTTTATTACAAAGAAAACAGGTGGATACTTGAATGAACTTGTACCTGGAGTGGGTCCGTTGGAGCACGGCATTGCCGGCGGGCGCGGGCGCGGGCGCCGGCGCCAGCCCGCGGTCGAGCGGCGCATCTTGCGCGGGCGCCGCGAAGCCCATGGGCGCGCGCGGGGGCGAGTCGCCCACGTGCCAGCGCGCGGCGCCGCGGCCCGCCCCCTCGCCCCCCATTCCCGCTAGCTCATGGCGCCAAGCGCCGCCGCCTCATCAGCTCCAGGCAGTGCGCTCGCGTGCTCCACGAATCTGAGAACAATCAGCATTTCCTGTTAGTCAACAGTGCACTCATCATAAAATTTATAAATATCCATGTTGCACTGAACTGTAGTAACGTAACACATTACTTTTAGTTCTACATCTTTATGTTACCAGATTCTTTAATCTGGTTTTTAATTCTACCTTACCGTGGTTTAAATCAGAGCTCCTCCTTAAAGTTTACCTAGTAAATAATAAACTTTCTTCCAAACCACAATACTAAAAGAAATCAATTTTAAGATCCACGCGTTATGATATACATTAGATACTCACAAAATAAATTTTTGTTATTCATGTTTGACAGTTTAAATGAAAAGTAAATTATTTACCTTAAATATTCTAAAACCAAAGTAAACTAATAAACAATAACGTCACAACAATGTAATTACTGTACAATAAAAAAATATGTATAATTATGATGCTCTATTATTAAAATGGCGTAGCGGCCTACGGCGTAGTCTGCTACGAATCGCTACGAAATCGTAGCGTACATAGAGGTCCTACGAGGCTAAGGCTAATGTTTTATTTCAATGTTTATTTAATTAATTCATTTGTATTTGGTTTCTCTGGGTATAGACACACCTGCACTATAACACCTAAATACAACTAAAAGTAAAATGGTAATAGTTTATAGAAAAATATGATTTATTTCGAAACAACTATTACAAGTTCAGACTAATTATTGTAGGTCCTAGCGGACCTACAATAACTTATACGACGTTACTACTTATTTGTTGTGCGGCTTTTAGATGATATTATTATTTTCTTTGTTTTATCTAAAATACGAGTTGAATAACACTGACTTCAGTAAACATTTTCACCAAAAAAAACAAAGCCAATTTTATTATTCCACTCCAACCATAGACGTTCGTGTTAACGATTTTATAAGTAAATATCCAAATTGTATGAAAAACGTACAACGAACTTATAAAACTGTCAAGTCACAGTACGGCGCGAGACACGAACGACTGTGTAAAAGGTAAAAGCACTCAACAAAGGCGATGTCATTAAATAATAGATTGGTGGCAGTCCGGCCGCATCGATCCGTGTAACTTTACCATACTCCTTGAAATACCACGTCAACCACACAATACATCAATATTATTCTATTTCATCATTAACAGTTACGTGTCTATTCCCAACTTTATGAGATAAATGTTGTAAGTTCAATAAATGCTACTTGTTATTTGTACAACAAAATTTATTTACGTAGGTAATGTCCGTGATTTTATCAACGTGAAATTTCATTTCATTCATTTTCACACTTGGGATTACCTCGCTGCAAGAGCTCAACAAGTTTTTAAAAACCTGTCACGTAACCTGGCCTCTTAATCTCATTACAATGCATTACTCAACAGACCAATGTTGCAGAAATAATATTAAACAAAGAGCAAACAAATCTCATACAAAAATACCTCAAAGTGAACCTCACTTGAATCCGAACCCTAAGTTAGGATAACGAAAACAAAAATGATCACGGGTCACATCACGGGAGCGAGTGTAGGATAAACAAGTGGAGATCCTAATTTCCTATTCAATCGGAGCCGTCATAAAACTACCGAAGTAAAATAAATAGAAGTCGGCTAGGTATATATTTGCTCGAGAGCATCGAGAGTCGGTGGGTGGCCAGCAATCGATTACTGGGTCGCGTGGCGCGCCCGCGACCCGAGCTTATCAAGCCTTCTGACCGACCCTAATCTAATAATAGACATCACGGTAACGTCCTCGACGCAGCTATTATTTGTCTACCCCTTTGTTTGCATTCTAGCTTACAAAACAGTCATATAAAAATTATGGTAATCGATATTAGACGGTATGACGATCAATATTAGCTCTATTTTTAACTTTTCACGACGGAGCTTCATATAAACATCGGTCCTTTTGTTTCTCGCAAGGGTAAGCAGGGGATAACTTATGTTCACCAGTGATATTATTTTATAGCTTAGCTATATTAGCTATTAATTACGACGCTTAATATTTCACGCACGCACGTTTTATTCTTTTTCCTATTAAAAATGTGTAATAAGAATCTATGACAATAATGATTGTCATATGTAATTACAAATAGATAAAATGAAATGCTATGAAAAATCTATAGTAAACAAAGAAGTCTACAATGTACTTTTTACAAAAATAATAGCCGCCATAAATTTTAAAAGAATTTGTAAAAGTGTAGCTATTTCAGGAAAATGTTTCAGCTTCCTTTATTTCCCTACAAATTGTAAGAGGAAAAATAGGTAACCTAGTTTAAAGTTCACGTAATAACGTTACTTGGCTGCGTTCTCGAAGTGATTGCAAGGTTTTAGCGCTTTTACTTCAGCCGTTTCAACTCAAATGCTGAAATAATTTGTAATGACGACGAACTAGTACATACGCGTTCTTTTAATTAATAGTGTACTGGAATTTAGATGTCCTTCCAAAGCAGTTCATTGTTTTACACGTTATCCTGAAACTTCTTTATTTTCTACCAAGCCTTTATTAATAATATTTTCTAATATCTTGTTACTTATGCATGGTTTCATTGAAACAGAACCTAAAATTCGTTAGAATCCTTACTATATAATATTATAAATCGGAAAGTGAGTTTGTTTGTTTGTTTGTTTGTTCCGCTTTCACGCCGTAACCACTACACCGATTGCTTTGAATTTTTGCAGACGTAAAGTTAGAAGTCCGGATTAAATAATAGGGTACTTTTATCCCGGAAAAATTTTATATTCCCGAGGGAAAACAAAAGTATTGGTATAGATGGCGCTGTGTGTATTGGTATATGTCACATAGGCCACGTTTGTGTTTTATCCTTTTGTGACGCGAGCGAAGCCGCGGGTATTGGCTAGTGAAACTATAAGAAACAAAACTTTGACAAGTAAAAATTTAAATGTAATAAAAGTTTGTAATAAAACTGTCATAATGACTTCTTTTTCCTTTTTTCAGACGTATTAAACTAAGACGGCATCGACCGAAAGCCGAGAAAAGGGGCACCTCTATTGAAATAGCCAGCTAATGCGTATTTTGATTTGTTTAATATTATCGCCTGATAATGTATTTTTCTTTACAAGATCAGTTACAAGACTATTCGAACTTCATTATTTAACATTGCAGCTTAGTAAATTAATAAACAGTTAAAGATGACAAGTCGTCATACGTATCGTGTCTTAATCTTATAGTACTATTTTATATTTTCTTGTTTATGTATAAAAATGTTGAAGTATATATTAATATTAAGTATGGGCTAAACTATAGTTTCTTAAATTTTCTGATTAAATAACTCTAGCGTCACGCTACCACGCACTGCCAGGAAAGTGAGTCTCAAATATTCAAAATATTTCACACTAAGCTGAACCGCAGCTGGTTTACTTACAAATTATTAGAACGAGTATTCGTCACCAATTTACTTAAAATTACCATATATATTTCGACGCAGGCCTGAAATTCCATACATAACAATATTATTATTGAAATATTGCTGCGGGTCCCAATGCGGGAATCGTAAACATGATTTTATGTGATATGTTGGACGTGAGCTCCTGTTATGTAAGTACAGAAAAAATAAAAGATTTACGAGACCTTTTTTTATCTCAATCGTTTTGGAAGCAAGAATGTCGCAATGTGACAACAGACGGTTAAAAGTCTATTGAGGGACATGGACCCTTCTCATTCATCTATCAAACCGGTCTGCGGTTCTCATTGTAAGACAAGCCCTTCCGTATATTAAATTCATTTTTCCTTGCAATAAAGAAGGACGTTGGGCGAAAGGATACATTTAAAACGAGTGTTTCATATTGTGATCGTAATACAAAATTTAGATTGCAACTTACTCCAAAATAACCCTTAAGTGCTTTTATGGCAGCCATGGGTGTTGAAATTACAACCTACTTTAGGCTCTTTTACAGTACAATAATATGTAGGTATATGAAAGTATAGAAAACAAATTCAATAATATCTTTATTAAGATAAAAGTATGTTGGGAGTGCGACCGACCGCAAAAGCGTTCCACCCAATAAGAACAAAGTATTATCTTGTACTGGTAATGGGTCGGCGGCGAAAGTTCATACTGGCCTATATACCTACAGCTAGAATATAGGTCACGTGACGTTTATATCCGGAGCCAGCCATTATCTCGACGCCACTCCGTCTGCGAGGCCTACTCGTCGCACAGAGCTACTTAAAATTACATCTACCACGGGTATACATACCTGATGTACAAATATAGCGATCGGAATACATTATGAGTTAAGTAATTCTGTTACTTTCTATATTTTATATCGGCAAGAGCGAGACGGAACTACCTAACTGCTTAATAGGCTTGCTTGGGACGAGGGTGGAGACTGACTCCGTATTGATCTCAAGTCGTGAACGGGACAGCCGCCGCCACTAGTAAATAAGGCAGAGCTTCGCAAACTTTTATCATCGCCTTACTAGTTTTATTTGCACGAGTCGACAGCGCTACATACACACAACTGTATAAGCGCCGCACTAAATCGTTCTGTTTATGTGAAAACGCGACTATTGTGCAAGATAAGATTGTAGGACATTACAGAGAATTGCATGAGACCCTCTGCCAAGTCTACGAAGGGCGAGAGCACTTATTTATTCACGCTTGAGTGGGTATAAATCTTGCTTTGGGAAACACCCCTACAGCTTCACTCTTTCTAAACTAACAAAAGTATTTATGAACACAAAGTTTATTTTTATTGAAACTTACTTACTTTCCCCCTAACCTACTTTCTACCTAAAAATGTATATAGTGTTAAAACTGTTATACATATAACATACACCCAATTAACAAAAGTCATGTTAAACCAAATCGGTTACAACCGCACCGACAATCGTTGTGTAATATTCAAGCTTCCCATAAGAGCAATGATGGGTCTGGAGCACGGTCGTTACAAGGGCTGGTACGAGGCGTGAGGCGCAACCGA